GCCCCCAAGAGGTTCAAACAACTGCCTCCAAGACGCCCCCGAGACGCCTCCCACGAGACCCCATCAGCCATCCGAGTGGCCTCAGACTCGCAACCCAAGCACGGTGGCGGGATGCCGAAAGCCATTCGATAATCATTCGTCGGGTGTTTTGACATATGCCCTCTATCTGTATGCGTGGGTTCTCGACCGTTTCCCCACGCGTGCCCGTTACCCTGTGAACTACCCAACCCATGTGCATCAAGTGGCAAAAGGAGCTGGCCCAAACTTGCCAGGACAGTGACAGTGCAGGCGCCGTTATATGTTGTGCAAGCTACATGGGATGCGCTCACGTGCCACGATTCACAAGACAACAACGGAAGGACAAGGAGCGAGGGCCCAGGCTTGAGGAGGACACGCGGGAACGACGGGCATGAGAAGGACGCTTTGGGGGCCGAACCGTCAGCGCGGCAGCAGCAGAGGGAAGGTGGCAGGGGGCAGAGGACCACGACGATAGGGACGGGAGGAGACCGAAGAGTATTGCTTTTGTCGGTGGTACGCCAAAGAGTCAGCGCTGCCTGCGCCATGTCGCCGCGGCGCTCGAACACATTATTCAACCTGCTGATAGTGAGTGCAATAACCACGCAGGCGCCGCCGCGGCAGCACGTGCCAGACCTCCTCCCCCAGTTCCTCCTCCTCCTCCTCCTCCTCCTCTTCCTCTTCCACCTCGTCTTCCCCTTCCTCCTCTTCCGCCTTCTCCTCCTCCTCCTCCTCCTCCTCCTCCTCCATTCCTCCTCTGCCGCACGTGGACCCCTCAAAACGGCGAGTTTCATCTGAGTCTGAATAGGGCGTCACTCCGCTGGGCCCCCCAGCAGCGCTCGACAATGGCGACAGCTTCGCACATCGCAGCCCCACAAGGATTGCGAGGTCTCCTGGTGATCTGGGTAAGATGTCACTTCGCTGGACCCCCCAGCAGCCGTCGAAAGTGGCGACAGCTTCGCAGATCATATCCCCCCAGGGATGGCGAGGTCTCATGGTGGTCTGGGTAAGCTGAGCAAAATGCGCGCGGGGTAAGAAGACAGCGAGGTGGTTGTGTGTTTGGCCAGCTTGGCATCTTGCTCTGTGTCGGCGCCCCCTTTTCCTCCGCGCCTGTCCGCACATTGTCTGTCCTGGCGGCTGTGCGTTCGGGGGGGGGGGGGTGTGGGGTGGCGCCGGCTGCGGCGACACACCTCGCCTGGGGACCGCCGTGCTTGGGGGATCCGTGGTCAGCGCCAGGTCGGGATGTGAGGTAGGCGTGGTGGCAGTGGCCCGTGGACATCGTGCACGCCGCTCGCGGACCAAATCCCCATGAACCTCGCGCCATACGTGCAGCGCGTGGGGAGGCGGACCACTCACCCATCCCACCATCACAGGGGGATGCGAAGCCCCTGTGAGTGGGACGTGGTGGGTAAGAGGGGCCATCATAGGCACCTCGCACTCAATTCGAGACCATCCGAAAGGCTCGTTTTGGGAAGAAGGTCATCACAGGCCTTCAACCTCAACATCTTCTTGAACACGGTTCGGGGCCGGATTCGCGATTCGCATCATGGCGGTCCTCGAGGTGGGCAACATAGCCGCCTCACCATGGCCAATCAGTTCATGTTTTTGTTATTGGCTTCATTACATGTGTTGCATGCTCTCCCCCAGCAGCTGTCGAAAGTGGCGACAGCTTCGCACATCGCAGCCCTACAGGGATGGCAAGGTCTCCTGGTGGTCTGTGTAAGAAGTCACTCCGCTGGACCCCCCAGCAGCCCTGGAAAGTGGCGACAGCTTCGCACATCGCAGCCTCAAAGGGATGGCGAGGTCTCCTGGTGGTCTGGGTAAGACGTCACTCCGATGGACAACCCAGCAGCGAAAGTGGCGACAGCTTCGCAGATCGCAGCTCCCCCCCCCAGGGATGGCGAGGTCTCCAGGGGGGCTGGGTAAGACGTCACTCCGCTGCACCCCCCAGCAGCCCTCGAAAGTGGCGACAGCTTCGCACATCGCAGCCCCACAGGGATAGCAATGCCGCCTGGTGGTCTGGGGAAGACGTCACTCCGCTGGACCCCTCAGCGAAGGCTTTCCAAACCGATTCGGGGAACACATGGTCCGATAGCTTGGCAGGTCTGGCCTTTACGTTCGGCCACATAGGCGCTTCCCAAAAAGGCAGGGGGCGGCGGTGATTCGCCGTAGGCGCCCTCGATAATCCATCGTCGGGTGTTTTGACAGATGCCCTCCGTCTGTACACGCGGGTTCTCGCCCCATTCCTCATGCGTGCACGGCGAATACTGAGGATGTCAGCCCAAGAGGCCCCGAAAAGGCCCCCATGAAGCCCCAACAGAGCTCCAAGAAGCTTTCAAAAAGCGCACAAGAGGCCCTCAGGAGCAACACGCAACAACCGCCAATTCCCCAAGGGGTCGGCGGTGTGGCGTGAGCCCAAGAATCTGCACGAACGCTGCCGAACGGCCGACATATGATGACATGGGGCTCGAATGTCGTATTCCGCGCATGCAACTGCGTGCTGCTGCTTGCTGCCGCTGCTGTGTGCTGCTGGTAATGCTTACCGCTGCTGCGTGCTGCTGCATGCTGCTGTGTACTGCTGCTTGTAGCTGCAGGGTACTGCTGATGGCCTGTTCTAGTTTGTGTGCGGTTGCCCGCTAACTGCTGTTGCTGTGCGCTCCCGCTGCTGCTGCCCGCTTCGCGCTGCTGCCTTTCGCTGCTGCTGCTTGATGCTGCAGGGTGATGCCTATGATTACTTCAGCGTTCTGGGGCAGACTGCTGACGGGAGAGGATCGGAGAGCGAGGAGTCAGGTCGAGAACGTCAAGGAGGTCGAGGGGGAGAAGCGATGGGCGATCAGCGAAGAGCGAGGAGCGAGAAGGGATGAGCGAGGGCAGAGGGGCGATGGGCGAGGAGCGTCGAGGTTCGAAGAGGTTTGCCGTCCTTTTGCAACTCTGGGGACTACTCTCGCTCGCCATCGCTTGGACGTCCATTCCCTGTGCACGTTTCGATTTCGTGCGTATTTTTTCGCAACGTGAACAAACATGCTCCTCGATGGTCCTTGCCGGTAAAAAATGCCCACGTCCGAGCGATGCCAAGCTCGGGCTCCGGGACCGTCAAACGTTGACCAAGGGGGAGAGGCCCAATCAGGACAGACCCCCCCCCCAGGGTCTGGGGACCCGTTCCTCGGGGATTTCATCGATTTCGAGGGTGCGTTGGGTAGGAGGCTGGAGGAGTCAATTGCTGCTTCGTGTTTGTTCAGGCTGCTTGCTGCTAGTGCTGCTTGCTGGCTGGCTGGCTGGCTGGCTGGATTAATTGCTGCTGGTTTGCTTGCCTGCTGACTTGCTGCTTGCTGCTGCTGGTTCCTGCAGCTGCTTCCTTCCGAAAGCTGTGACGGGGTCTCCTGGGCTGAATCTATGCCTTTGAGGGTGGCTGGTCCCAGGAGGAGGAGGAGGAGGAGGAGGAGGAGGAGGAGGAGGAGGAGGAGGGCGGGCAGGAAAAGGAGGAGGAGGAGGAGGAGGAGGAGGAGGAGGAGGAGCATGATGATGATGATGATGATGATGATGATGATGATGATGAGATGATGATGATGATGATGATGATGATGATGATAATGATGATGATGATGATGATGATGATGATGATGATGATGATGATGATGATGATGATGATGATGATGATGATAATGATGATGATGATGATGATGATGATGAGGAGGAGGAGGAGGAGGAGGAGGAGGAGGAGGAGGAGGAGCTGCCTTGGAGCCCGGCTGGGCCTTCGGGGGTAAACATGCTGCGAGAGGGGGCGTCTTGGGCCGCCCTGGGGCGATCTGGGGCCGCCCTGGGGGAGTTTTCGGGCCACGGCTGGAAAGTAAGACGCGCGCGTGCGCCATATTTTCAGCGATGTTCCATCGTGGCTGTGGGAGGGAACAAAGAACCCCCAGAGCTTTCTAAGGGGTCTGCCATGAGACGTCTCTCAGAAACGGTTCTGGGGGTGTCTTGAGGTCTCTCGGGGACCTCCTGGGGCCTTCTTTTGGCCTCTTGGGGACCTCCTGGGGCTTCTGGGGGGCCTCTTGGGGGCCTGCTGGCGGTCTCGGGGGTCATTTTGGGACAGAGGGCGCGGAATGTCAGGTCGAGTTCCCCTTCTTGGGGCCCTTTTGGGCTGTCATGGGGGTCGCTTGGGCGGTTTGGAAGCCTTCTTGGGTCGTCTGGGGAACCCTCCTGAGGGCATGTGAAGCCATGTTCGGGCGATCTTGGAGGCCTATTGGGCCGTCTTTGAGCGTCGGGAGCCCGAAAAAGCGAGAACGCTAGAAGCATTGAACAACATGGTAAACAGTAATTTGTTTTGCCTCCTGGAGGTCCTCATGAAGCCCTCTTTGGCCGTCTTAGCGGCCTCTTGGGCCGTCTTGGGGGTCGCTTGGGCGACTTTTGAGCCCTCTTGGGCCGTCTGGGGGCCCTCTTGAGGGCCTGTTGGGCTGTGTTGGGGCGATCTTGGGGGCCTCTTGGGCATTCTTGGAGCGTCGGAATCCCGAGAAGGCGAGAATGCTAACACCATTGAACAACCTTAGGAATCCTAGCGCGTTTTGCCTCTTCGAGGTTCTCTTGGAGCCCTCTTGGGGCGTCGTAGGGGCCCCTTTGGCCGTCTTGGGGGCTGCTTGAGCGGTCTTGGAGCCCTCTTGGGCCGTCCAAGGGGTCCTCTTGGGGACCTGTCGGGCCGTATCGGGACGATCTTGGGGGCCTCTTGGGACTTCTTGGAGCGCTGGAAGCCGGAAAAAGCAAGAGCGCCCAAATCACTGAAACAATGAAGGCAACTCAATGATGTTGGCCTCTCGGGGCCCTCTTGAGGGGCCTCTTGGAGCCCTCTTGGGCCGTCTTGCGGCCCTGTTGGGCCGTGTGAAGGCCGTGTTGGCGACCTCGCGGGTCGTCTGGAGGCGTCTCGGGCCATCTTGGACCGTCTCGGAGCCCGCCAGGGCCAGCCGGGGGCGATTCTCGCACGCGCCGATGCCGACCATATGGAGTAGAAGTCGTCGGGCTCGAGCTTTGACTCCCACATCTCACGGAGCAACCCCAGCGCCCGCTGCCACTGCTCTCCCTTCTCGCACGCGCTGATCCCTGCGTTGTAGCTAACTAGGGCGAACCCGTGGACTTCGTCCACGACCAGCAAGTCCCCCTGGCGCGCCTCCACGTTGGGTCCCCGCCCAGGAAGAAGTCACCCCGAAGCCTTCGGTGACTTTTTCAGGCCGCCTTTCCGAAGTTGGATGGCGGGCGTTTCCTCCTCTTCGTCCGCCTTCCGCTCCACGTCCGCCTGGACAGCAATCGAAGCGTCACAGACGGCTATGGTGGGTCTGCGGTGTGCCTGTCGCCGCTTGCCTGCTCCCCCTGGTTTGAACAATGTTGAAAGTACCTGGGGCCTAGAAAAAAGTCACCGCTCGCTCTTGGGAGCTGTGCCTGGGAGAGCTCTACGCTGCGGCTCGCTCTTGGGAGCCTTGGTGAGAAGAGCCTTGTACTTTACCGATCGCGTTTTTAATGGGCGTCTCTGGGCCTGCTTGGTGGTCCTTGTGGGTGTCTTTTTCGAGCCATTCTGATGCTTTTTGGGGCTGCTCTGGGAGCGTTTTGGGACGTCTCGGGGCCATTTTGGGCCGTCACGGGGCGTCCGTGAGGCCTTGGACCGTCTTGGAGCTCTCGTGGGGCTGCCTGAGGCTGCCTTGAGGGCCTCTTAAAGCCCCTCGGAGCTCTCTTCAGGCCGTCTTGGGGTTCTGTGAGGCCGCTTCAGGGCTCTCTGGCGTCGTCTTGGAGCTCTTGTGGGCCGTCTTGGAGCCCTCTTAGGGGCCGCTGGCGTCTTCTTGGGGCGATTTGGGAGGCCTCTTGGCGTGTCCTGGGCCGCTGAGGAGCACACAAGGCGGGCATGCTGAAAATATACGTTTTCCTATAAGAATTTGACGATTTGTGCCTCTTTGGCGTGCGCTCGGGGCCCTCTTGGGGCGTCTTTGCGGCCTCTTGGATCGTCGTGGAGCCCCCCCGGAAGGCTTCGGGCCCTCGTGGGCCGTCTCGGGACCCACTGAGGCCGTCTTGAAGCGCTCTTAGAAAGTCTGAGAACCCCTCTGGAGCGCCTCTGGGACCGGCCTGAGCGATTCGGCCCCGTGGTGGCGCCGTAAAGGGGCGACTTTGTCCACTTGAGGCCCTGGGCTTCTCGCACGCGCTTCCACCGGCCATGTAGGAGAGACTAGTTTGCTCGGGCTAGCAGTCGAGCGCGCAACAGAGAATAGTGACAACTGGCGGTCGCATAGACTCCAGGAATCTGCACTGATCGCGCTGGTCCCATACGACTCGGGGCACAGACTGCGGAGAATCGAAATTAATCCTTTGGCGCTCTCGGGGCAAGCTTGTGTCCTGCTCGTGGTCTGAGTGTGGCCCTCTTGAGCTTTCTTGGGGCCCTGGTGGGCCTTCTTGGTGCTACCTGGGCGTTTCTTAAAGTTTCAGAGTGGCAATGTTTGGGGCGTGAGGGCAGGTTGGGGAGCTCTTGGGAGGCCATGATGGGGCGGTCTCGGGCCATCGTGGAGACAGCTCTGGGCTGGCTTGGAGGCCAGACAATGGAGTCCCAGGACATCTTGGGAGCGTATGAAGCCCTCTTGAAGCCTCTTGGAGCCTCCCTGGCGCTGTCACAAACATGGGGACCCCATCTGAAAACACTCTTGCGAGCGAAGACTAATATAGCTAGATGCACTGAGCACAACGTCTTCGCCAGCATGGATCGCAGACAGTGAAGTAGTCCACTGTACATGTGTATTGTCTGTGGTGTAATATGTGTGGTGTAAACTATGCGATGCAAGCTATGTGTTGCTAGCTACGTGGTGTGAGACATGCGGTGAACGCTGTGGTGAAGCTAGGGCTTGCTGTGTGTGTATGTGTATAATATTATGTGTCGCCAGCCCTAGGGTGCAGGCTGCGAGGTGCAAGCCATGTGGTGTGTGCTAGATGGTGTAAGATATGCGGTGCCATACGTGTAGTGCAAGCTCTGTGGTGTAAGCTGTGGCGGCATGAGCTATGCGGTGTAAGATATGCTGCGGAAGCTTTGTGGCGAAAGCTATGTGGTGCAAACCAGGTGTTGCAATCCAGGCGGTGCAAGTTTTGTCGTGCAAGCTACAGGGTGCAAGCTATGCAGTGCAAGCTAGGTAGTGGCTACGTGATGCAACCCATACACATGTATGTGCATATGTGCATATACGCATGTATATACATATATAACATATGCACTATAAGTACATACATACATATAGGATTTCTAGAAAAACGCACGCGCTTCGCGCGCTCACGTTCTAGCCAGGCAGCCAGGCCGGAGATGCTAACTCTTGAAAGGGTTGTCGTTGGGCGATATTGGACATTTCTAAAGCCGTCCGAAGGATGTGCCAAACAGGTGGCAGGTCCCACGACCTCAGGCCAAGAACGCTCCAAGACGGCCCAAGATTGCTTCAAGATGGCACGACCGGTTCGCAAGACTTCCCAAGAGCGCTTCAAGACAGCCCAATGTCGCCTCAAGACGGCCCAGAAGATCTCAAAGGGGGCCCTCGAGAGGGCCTCCAGAAAGAATTGTTCACACATCCTTTTTGGAGAACGTGCGTTTGTAGCATGCCTACTCGCCTTTTGTCTCCAAGAAGGCCGCGAGGCAGTAAGAACATCCGACGATGGGCCAGGAGGCTCCCAAGCGCGATAAGCCCCTAAGAGGCCCCTAGGAATCCCCAAGAAGGCCCAAAACGCCTCCAAAGGAGCCCCCCAAGAGGCCTGCAGAGGCCCCAAGATACTCCCAAGCGGCCCCCAAGAGGCCCCCAAGAAGCCTCCACGAAATCCCAAGGTGCCGCAAGAAATGTCCAAGAAGCTCTGGGTCCCAGGACACTTCCAAGAGGTCCGAAGAGGCTCCAAGAGGCCCCCCCAAAGGCCACCAAGAGGCCCCAAGGAGGCTCAAAATGCGTCCTGGAGACTCCCGAGAGGCCTCCCAAGAGACCCATCGAAGACTCCTAAAGAAGCCTCTTATCCAAGACCCTGTTTGGCCCCAGGGACGCCCCAATAACCCATCGAGAGGCTTCCTCCTCCTCCTCCTCCTCCTCCTCCTCCTCCTCCTCCTCCTCCTCTTCTTACATCTATTACTCCTCATCGTCTCCCTCTCCTCATCATCCTCTCCTCCTTCTCATTTCTCTTCTCCTCCGCCCGCCAAGTGACGGAACCAACTACCGCCGCCATACAATTTCCCAATCGCCACGAACACACAAAACAGGAGTACAATACTGGCGGACAGAATGAACGAAGCGATTGAATAATCGTCAGACGCGGCACGACTGCAGGAAAGTCCCGGCGGCGCGCGGACGCTTCAGTGCGGATCGGTGACTCGGGCGGACGCGGTGTCACGGTGACGTCGACAACGGCAGAAGCGATGATGGCAGTAGCAATGACGGTTACGATGATGGCGATGAAGACGTCAAGGCCAATGTCGGCGCCGATGTTGGTCACGCCGGTGACGCTGATGAAGTTCATGTGCCGCTGATGAAAGTCTTAACAAGACTTCGACATGACGTGCGGCCGCCGCGCGCGAGTGGCCCGCATGGTATTATGTGGCAGGTAGGGTGCCCCCCCAGCAAGCGTGCCAGGGCGTCCGGATGATTTCGACACGCGCACGCGAGAGGCCCGCGCGTGATTATTTGACGAAGATGCCTAACAACCGATCGTTGCCCAAGTGCTCGAAAGAGCGCGCGCGCAGATGGTTGAAATATGAGGATGAAGCACAGTTCTGTTTTAACATGTGGTCGGTAACCTCGACTTTGAAATCCGTCCGAAACCTAAGGTTTTGGATAAATAGCGACATGCGCGCGATCACGCGCGCGTGGACTTTGTCCAATTGGTTTGCAAGTGCTTCTTTTAAAACGTTGTTCTGATTACACCAGAGGAAAATCAGATCAATGAATTTATGCTTTTGTTTCGCAGGTGCTTCGATCGGCCTTCATCCCGTCCTAGTCTAGTTCGAATGTACGTTATAGTTCAGTCTACTTATTTTATGTTCCTCTCTCTCTCTTTTCTCTGTTTCGTTTTCTCTCTCCTTCTCTTTCCCTCTCTCTCTCTTTCTGTCTCCCGTGGTGTCCTGTGGCGGGGGGGGGGGCTTCCGTGCTATGCTATATGCTATATAATATGTTGTGTCATGCCAGCGATAGTGACATCGCTAGTGCTATCGATAGTGAGGTCCACTGAGTGAGATCGAAAGTGACATCGAGCGTAAGATAGATACTTAGTGAGATCGATATTGATGTTGGCAGTGATGTCAATTGAATGAGTTCGATTGCGAGATCGACAATGGGATCGATAGCGAGATCGATAGTGAGACCGATAGTGACATCGATAGGATGAGATCGATAGTGAGATCGGTCGTGAGCATGGATCGTGTGCTCGATAGTGACATCGATAGTGAGATCGATTGGGTGGCATGGCCAGTGAGATCGATCAAGAGGTCGGCTGTGGTATCGAAATGGCGATCAATCGTGATTTCCATCGTGAGATCGATTGAGTGACATGGATAGTGAGATCGATGGTGAAATCAAGAGTGGCATCGATAAATCGATGGTGAGGTCCATCGTGAGATCGGTAGTGCGATCGATAGTGAGATCGATAGTGATACCAACAATGATACCGATCGTGAGACCGATCGTGAGAACAATCGTGAGATCGATCGTGAGACCGATAGTGAGATCGACAGTGAGATCGACTGTGAGATCGATAGGGGTACCACTAATGATATCGATCGCGAGATCGATCGAGTGACATGAACTGTGCGAGCGATAGTGAGCTTGATAGTGATATCGAATAAATGAGATGGATGGTGAGACCAATCGTGAGATCGACCAGGAACCTGGAACCCCGGAAACAGAAACTTGAACCCTGGGAACCCCGCCGCCAACCGAAATCGGCTCGGAAGCAGCAACTGGGAACCGGGGACCCCGGTACCAAGAACCCGGGAATCCGGCCGCCCACCGAAATCGGCCGGGCAATCCTCTCAATCTCCGCTAGGACCCCTTCAGTGCAAGCACTGAATTTTGGGAATAAACGACCGCGCGCGCACAATACCATTTGACAGGGATGAGGGGTGG